TGAAGACACAACATTTTGTGGTACAGATTAAATCTGTACTTTTTTCAGCAGATCCATGGTGTCAGATTTAGTTCTTTGATCTGTATCATTGCTTCTGGGTTTCAGTTGAGGTGTAGTTCCATCTTTAGCAAAAAAGTTTTTGGTGTTCCCAAAGCAAAACATGATAATACTGTCTGTTTGATGCTAAAATAGGGAGATTTTTTTTTTCTCTGGCATATTTCTCTCTTTTTTGTAGCTTTAAAAATATTTTATTCCCTTTGTTGATCCATTTTGCAGTAAGGTAAGAGTACTGGGATTCAGTCATGCTTTTAGAAAGCAGTTTAATAAACTAGAAATTAATATTCGTTAACTTATTTTAGACACTGAATTGCAAGTTACTATCTATTTTGCCATTGCCTACAAAATAGTTTCAGCGAAGTCAGCGCAAATTAAACTGTTGTGGATCTTTGCGCAACACTGGTGTTTTTTTTAAATGACTCGGTTGGGTAAGTGATTCAGTGACTACATCTGAAATCACATGCTTCCCTACTATTATACTTTTTAATGGTCATTTCTTGAATGATTCAATTTTGAACTTTTTTCCTTTTGAACTAATCATTTGAGTGAACAATCCAATGACTCACATTTACACAGTCACTTCCTGTATGAAGTTGAACCAGTATTTTTGAATGATGATTCACTGAGTCACTCTTAAAGAGTTACTTGATTTGTTTCTGAAATGATTCAGTGTTTCAAATTAATCAGATAACTGAATGAATCAGTGACTTACTCATTAAAATACAGGAAAAATCACTGAAAATCCACAGCAATAATCACAGGATCGTACATAGTATTTAAAATATATATTTCATTAAAATGTTATTTCATTAAGTAAATTAATTAAGCCCTATCTGTCTGCTACAAGATATACTGTCATGCAACCAGCAACAGAACATTCTCTGAGTAATACCATCTGTTGACAGTAAATTGGTTAAAAGAATATTGAAAAAAAAGAAGAGGTTTGAAGTTAATCTGATTCTTCATCCACAGGTTTGAAGCTATTGATAGCCTGAATGCGTCAGGATTCATTGGTATGTCCTTAGAGGGCTCAGACAAGCCAATTCTTCGAAATTTTAATGAAGGCTAATAACAGCCTAACTCTCCAAAGGGAACTTGTTCACATTAATAAACAAAACAAGCGGATGAGCCTGCACACACAAAAGCCTTCATGCTCTCTAGCCAAGGGGCTTTCAACCCTGGCAGTGGCTCAAGCCTGATGTTTTCTCTGTGTTGTGTTGCTGTGCCAGATTATATTGTAATTACTTATTGGAGGCAGTCATGACGAGGCTGAGGCAAGGGGTTTGGGGGAGCAGAGAGGAGGACTTGATTGTTGTTCAGGCATGATGGTAAATAGTTTGTGCTTGGCTTTAAGATGATGTGTACTGATGGAAAGAAAAGCTGGGCGTTCCACATTTCTCTCAGGATCTTCTGAGAACGTCTCAAATGTCTTTGGCTTTGGTAGGAGAGAAGTAATTGCCTAAATAAGGTCTCAGTTTGTCAGCTTTGGTATCTTTTCCCGCTCCTACAGAAACGGATCCCTGTGCTGAGCTGTTAGCGAAAGGCGTAAATGAAACCTACTGGGACAAAAGCTCTGGGAAGATTCTCGCTGCCTTTTGTTCTGGCTCACATGAGTAATAGGGATTGGATTTGGAAGGAATGTAATGATTCTGGTTCTGAGTCAGATTCCAGTCAACAATTATGTGATTCTGATTCTTTAAGTATTCCATTAATGGTTCTTTTAGTGTTTTTGAGTTGTGTGAGACCTAATGAGACCTAACTAAATGCCAAACAGTATTTTTGGTGCTTGTAGTTTAGTAAGTGTTAATCGTTTCTCTGATTCAGACTTGTGAGTCATGGATTGATTATAATGGGAAGGATTTTGTTTTGACACTTCTGGTATTGGTACTGTAAATGTAGGTTGCTTGCAATTACTAAGTGATGTAACAGCAAAGGTATCCAGTTGTGAATATAATTTCACAATATTTATAGTTTGTTACTGTTTTGAATTTTGTCTTAATCTTACATAATGTAAAGCTATCTCTGTATTAGGGATGTAACGATATGAAAATTTCATATCACGATTATAGTGACCAAAGTTATCACGATCATCAATATTATCACGGTTTTGTTAAAATTATATATATATATATACAATAAGATTTCTGTTAGTGATCATGTGATCTTCGGTTAGGAGATCTTGTGATGCTTTTTAAAGCAAAGTTGGGGTTGATTTCGAGTTCACATACAAACATAAGTAGAATGGGCTAATTAAATTAGTCTATTTTAATGTAAGACAACATATTTTTCGTCAGTGATAGAAATATGATTCCGATTTGGTTCTCTTAGATGGCTGAAAAATCTCCCGAGCGCTGTCACTGCCTTCCGCCATTTCCTCTCATGCAAAAAACAACAACAACAACATTGCATGCTGCTTCTGCGTCAGACTGATGCTGGCTGGACAGGATTTACCGCGAGTTTTCAAAAGCGCGATAATCAAACACGGTTTTGATGATAATTAAATTTTAAACGGTAATACTAACCGTCAGGGCATTTTATCGTGATTTATCGTGAAACCGGTAATCGTTCCATCCCTACTCTGTATCTACCCAGCATTTCGAATTTTGGTGCTTAAGACATTTCTTATTATTACCAATGTTAAAAACAGTTGTGCTGCTTTATATTTTTGTGGAAACTGATGAATTTGTTTTAGGATTCTTTGATGAATAGAAAGTTCAAAGCTGCATTTATTTAAAATATAATTATTTTATAACATTATAAATGCCTTCACTGCCACTTTAAATAAATTTAATAGGTCCATGCTGAATAAAAGTATTAATGCCTTTCAAAAAAAGTGTTTCACGGTATTTAATAATAACTTACAGAGACCTTTACGTCGGTTACAATAAAGCTTATACTTAAGGACAGAGAAATGTCTATTATGCAAGCACAGATTCTTTTGAAATAAAAAATACAATCAACCAATTTGTTGTACTAGCCAGATGTAAAACTATCCCCATTTGTCTGTTGTTGGGGCAGGCCCAGAGGTGGCAGTAATGAGACAGTCAGCTATGAGGGTCACCTTGATGTCATAGTTATTGTCAAAGCCACAGTCAGCAGCATGTGACTGGGATTTGTGGACTGCCCGCCGCTGCCTGCTCTTTCTCACCCTACACGGCTAATGTGAAGGACCACAGCAGATGTGGCGAGGTGCTCAGGCTGTGGCACATTAAGCTGCTGCCCTCAGGTCACAAATGTGCTGCGTATTAAATGTAATGTGGAACTGAAATTAGTTGCAGGCTGAGAAGTTTAAGAAGTCCCTGATGGATTAGAATAATAGTTTGGAATAGTTACAGAAAGATTAAAGTATTAGTTGACCCTGTATTCAAGGCCAAACAGGAAGTTTGTGAACTTTCGTGAACTGGTTTTGAAGGGTGATCACTTGTCCGTTTACTTGCATTAATTGCGATTAATCACATCCCAAATAAAAGTTTGTTTTTACATAATATATGTATGTACTGTGTATATTTATTTTGTGTATACATATATACACACATACATGTATATATTTTACAAATATTTGTTTACATATATGAATATTTTATATATAAATAGGAATATTTTTCTTAAATATATGCATGCATGCATGTGCATTTATATAATAAATATACACACACATTTTAATAATACAACATTATGTAAACGCATTTTAATTTTAGATGCGATTAACCGCAATGAACTGTTTGACAGCCCTAATTTATAATTATTTAAATAATTTTGATATTATTACTAATATTATAACCTTTATTATAATTCCTGCTTTGCTGATTACTACAGCAACATCTACTGACAGCCTTGTCAATGTTAACAGTATTTATTTCATATCCCATATTTATTGTTATTATTATTATTAGTAGTAGTAGTAGTAGTAGTAGTAAATATATTAAAAATGAAAAGAAAGTAAAAAGCACAAAATAAAAAGTATTTTAGAATACCTTTATAAAATATTTAATTATGATTAATACTGATAAGGCTGACAGTAAATTTTGCAACTATTTATTATTATTATTATTATTATTATTAGTAGTATGTGTCTGTTAATAATTGTGTCCATATCTGTTAATATTTAGTAATTGCAACAACTACTGATATCATTTTTAAGTTTGTCCATATTATTGTTAGTATAATTTTTGGGTATTCTATTCAATTCAAAGTATCAATTTATGTACTGTGAATGAATGAATTAATAAATAAATAGTTCATAAAATACTTTAATAATTTTAGTAATAAGTAATAATGACACGGCTGGCAGTGTATTCGCAACTATTAAGCATGCCCAGTTATCTTCCACGGTTTAATTGGTCGTTGCTGATAAATTGGTCTGTTGCAGTGTTTGTGTTGTAAATCTTCAGGCAGTATTGATGATTGAATGGTGGAGGTGATGGGGATGTGTGTGTCCTTGGAGATGTCGTGCGTGAGAGCGGTGTGTCTTGAAAAGAGGCATGATTGCTTTGGCGAATGCTGTCTGGCTAAAGAGCCGGTGTTGGAAATAATGTATATGTGGGTGTGCAATCTGGCACTTCTCACTCTGCACAAACAGAAATCAGATCACAGGGGTTTGCATGATGAAACAGAGCCCCAAATAACACACGGCTGCTTAATTAGGATGCCGGGCCAGGGGGTCCTCGTACGTCTGCCTGCAGCCACATTAACCTCCCCAGAGGGTTGAGGAGTCGTATTGTAATGCACATTTTAGTGTCAACAAATTGTGGATCAAATGTTGTCCAAATGAAATGTTATTGCCCCGGAGGCTTTTAAATATACGACCAGACGCTTTTAATAATTCATGTACAGAGACTTGTCAGGTTAAGCAGGAAGCACGTATCCCAGGCCGTTTAAGGTTTTTAATGAGAGGAAGTCATGGACTTGCATCAAGACCGATAAGTTGTTTTGCTTTTCTGCAGCGGGCTGCACGTTTGATGAGGACTCCGACCCCAGCCTGTGCGAGTTCAGCCAAGGGGAGGAGGATGACTTTGATTGGCAGCTGTTCCGCGCTCACGCCTCGCCACACTCCACCTCTGATCTCCTGCGCGGTAAGTCTGCCCAGCATTGCCCATTCTTATTCTGCCAGTTTATTTCACACTGTGTCGCAAACCGTTTCACACCGTGGACCTGTCCATCTCGGATGGCCTCCTACTGGCCTCATCAGAGTGACAGCTGGAAGGACGGCCCCCATCGCAGCATGCTGTTTATTTCTTTCTTTTTTGTTTTACTTGTAGTTTTATTTATTGAATAAATGAGGTATTTATTAAAATTCTTAAAATAAAAGTATAACAATTTTATTTCAGCATTTCATATTCCATATATATTATTATTTTAAAAAAATAATAAAAAAGTAGTAGTAGTAATAATAATAATAATAATAATCACCCATAACAAACCCATCCATCTTGCATACCTTCCTTCTGGCAGCTGGAATGACATCCCACATTGCAGCATGCTCTTTATTTTTTTCTTGTTTTATTTGTAGTTTTATACAAATTTGGAGAACGTTTCACACGTAAAATGTGTTGATATCATCAAATCAGGAACTACCGAACTACCATGTAGCCATATTCAAATTTTGTCGATGGGTGGCTGCAGGGAATGAATAGAATTCCCCTGGCACGGATGCAATCACTACATGTGGTCACATGCAAATCAACGTTGTCCAGTCAGAACAAGCAGGTGCAATAAGAAAGGTAAAGAGTCTGATCTATAAGCACGCATCAGCAGGTCTCGTCTCTCGATGTCTTATTCTGTCCGTGTCAACCGATGAAACAGAAGTGATTAGGAGTTTGGCCCCACCTGAAACGAATCAATCCCGACAATCAATGAGTTCTTTGAAATGTAGCCCATCCCGAACGGGAAGTGTCAGAGAGATGTGCATGGCCTGCTGGGAAGGGTCTTTTATTGAGAGCCATTGTTGAAACTAGATCAAAACAAGCAGAGGGAGGCAAGAAAGTGCAGAACTAGTGATTGGATTAGGCGGCCACCGGTGGTAAGTTCAAGTGTAAGATGTGTTGTTATCAGCACATGCATTTTGTATTTCATCAAATCTACCGACAACCTTGTCAATATAATAATAATAATACAAAAAATATTATTTAATATCCCATTATTATTATTATGACAATAATAATGATTTTTATTATAATAATTTATTTTATTAAATTTAAAGTAAAAAAATGTGCAGAGTAAGTGAAAAAAATAACAATCAACAGATCTAATAAAAACATTTCCTTTTGTACTATTCACAAATGGTACGTTTTCACAAAACTACAAAAATGCAGATTTAATGCTTACTAAGTAATTGGATTAGGCAGACACCGGTGGTAAGTCAGTGAAAGAGACAGATGGATCGCAAGAACTTCGATGTGAGGAGAGATAGGATGCCGATGACACAATGAAACAGATAAAAATTAGGTAAGGTTCTCAGCGATGAAGTAAAACACAGGGGACCTGGATAAGAGAGGCTTGTGAAAAGCATATCTCAGGGGGAATGTGATCCAAGCACTATAATCTACACCAGTTTGAACGGAAGGTCAAAGACTACCAGAGGAATAAGAATTTACAGAGAGGGCCGGCTGTCCTTAATCTTTATGAGTAGACATCCACAAATGTAGCAGTACATTTGCAATACAATAATAATTGCGTGTATTATATAATATAATCTCAAATAATATTATATAAATCATATAAAATTATATTAAATAATATATAATACATTTAAAAAGTGTTTAGCACAGGAAAAACTATTTATAATTAACAGATCTAAATAATAAAAAAAAACCTTTGGTACTATTTTCTCAAGAAAGCGATACATTTTCAGAACTTTCAAAAACGTTCACTTTCAAAACTCCAGGAAGATCATCAAAAAATGCAGTTTTAATGCTTGTCACACAAAATCACAAAGTACCTTTTCTCGTCATCTACTGTAATCTAAAGAAATATTAATATTAATATTTTATCATAAAAAATATTAGCATTTCTTTTTATTATATTCATTATATTTTATTATATTTACAATTTTTATATTTAATTTGCAATTTAACATTTTTTATTAATATAAATTAATAAATATAAAAAATAAATCTCTCTCTCTCTCTATATATATATATATATATGTATAATTATAATTATATATATATTTATATTTTTATTATTATTATATACTATTTGATTTATATTAAGTATTGTGATTTCTACATTCAGCATTTCTAAAGGTAATTTGATCTTGCATAATTTGCTATTGAACTAAATGATTGTGAAAATGACTAAATTGACAGATCATCATTTTTTTGGTGATTAAATCAAATGCTCTCATTACCCGTTACAATAATCTTATGATTGGACATAATTGTTGTGTGAAAGGAAAGTTTTGAATAAATAGAACAAATCAGTTTGAAGTTTTGAACTGTGAATGTAGCACTTTTTAAATTGTGAGAATAGTACTAAAGCAAAACTATAATCAGCTTGTGTTAAATATATGAATGAGTGATTAGGACAGTTGAGTATGATGGAATCCTCCATAGTACATCATAATCAGCATTCTAATCATATGCAGACCCAAGACACCTCACCCGCAGTCACAGGCGCTGTGCAGTAATTAATACATTTCCCTCTGGGTTTAATTAAAGCCGACTGTCTGTCGTGTGACATTCACTGTTCTCTGAGGGCAACAGATGAGTATAGGCATGCAAAGTTTAAGTAGGTGAGAATGATGTCACACCTTGGAAACACAGCAGGAAGTGTTTGATGGTGTGAACGTAAACAGACATTGACATCGCACGTTCGCCCTGCGGTGGGAGTTTACCATGTATTTTTTAAATGGAGAACCCCACACAGACATTTTAACCAGCAGATTTTGATCGTCTTAACATGGGACGCGTTGGCTTTGGGAAACTAGGTCAGAAACTGCCATGGTACTGAGTGGCAAAATGGATCCTTTCATGTTGTTTCGGTCTCGATATGCAAACATTGAGCTCTCCTAAACAAGGCCCAGTTGTATTTTCTCAGTTCTACACGTTGAAGAGATCCTGTCACCATCGCCCATCTTAATTCAGAGCACGGTGCTGAGCTAACTTTTGCTTAGCAGATAAGACTATTTACAAGGGGACGGATGTAAGTCTGGTCCCTGTGTGTGGATAAAGCGGTAAAGTTTGGCAGTGATAACCTGTATCTCACTGTTAGGAGACAAACTCAGATTTTTTATCTGAGGAAGAGGTTTAGGGAGGGGTACAGCGGGGTTTTGGATACCTACAGGGAACAAAATGACATTTTCACATTTACATTATTGTGGCATGTGGGAGTGACACTAAAATATGTAAAAATATTAAAAAAATATTAAATATACAAAAATAGATACAATATACTATATACATTTGTATATTTTACCTTTTAATATTTATTAAAAATATTAATAGTTATTTACTTATAATAAATGTACAATGGAATATTATTTATTTATTTTTTTTACCAAAAGCATATCCTATTTTCCTAAGAAGAGAGAGAAAAGAATACTGTTTATAATTATTTTAACAAAAAAAGCTAAATTACTTTTTTTTTAAATTTATCAAATCAAAAAGGCTGCAATTTAAATAAATATATAAATAAATAAAAGAACATACATAGTTGTTCAACAAAAAAGGCTTTAAAGTTGTCCATGTGGTTTTCCGTCAAAATAAAAGCCCTATAGTTTATTGAAAAATGTGAAAAATAAAATAAAGGCAGCTGTACTGTAAACTAAAATAATTTATTTTTTAATTTTTCAATTTTACAGTGCAATATGTTTAATATGTTAAAAATGTAATAATAGTTGTCGTAGTAGTAGTAGTAATAATAATAATAATAGCAGTTCTTCTTATTTTATAGTCATGTTGACATATATTCACAAACCCTGGAGTTTTTTTTTTTTTTTAAATCACATTTTAAATCTGAGTTGCAATTTTTATTCAAATAAAATAAATACATAAATAAAATCAAATAAATAAATAGAAACTGCAGTTAGATTTCTTTCCCTTAATAATTAATATTTATTTTTGTATATTTAATATCATGCAGCCTTACTCACACCTGTCAAAATACTGTGAAATTGTGGTTTTGTTTCTCATATTTCACATATGTTGCTTAATTGCTTTAAATCAAAGGTTCTGCCAAATGCATAAATATAAATATATGTTTCCATTGTGGAGTCCTGGAATAATGGAAACCCTAGATAACGTATGATGGTACATTTTCCACTTAGGGAAAAGTTCTCAGATTACTTCTTTCATGGACTTTATGGGTATGTCTTTGATTTGATTTAAATTTGGGTTTAGACTTTCATTCTTACAGTCTGACTTAAACCACATATTGGCTCTGTTTTATTTATGCACCAAAGTCAATTTTTACTCATATTTGGTGAGTATTCATTTTAGAGAGGGAAAGCAGAGAAGAGGCACGTACTCTTGAGGTCAAGCGGTTAACATTCATTTGCAAGGAGATTATTTCTTATCTTATCATCAGTTGGAAGTCCGTCACACTGCAGTCTACTGTCTTTATTCATGCGAAATGGTTGGTGGTGCGTTGTGAGGTGAGACCTGCGCTCTACACGTTTGAATCCAGTGGATGGGTTAGAAACAGAAAGACCTCTCGGTCAACGTGGGAGGCAGAGAAACCTGCAGCACTTCAGATAACCTAATTGGTCCTTTCTCATCTTAAGCCAGACCTCTGGGTCCGTCAGAGATCTGCTGTAATCTCTTCACTGGAAGCAGGTTCCCACAGATATTAGTGCTAAAGCCAGGCAATTCTCTGGGCATGTTGTATCTTATTACGTCCCTCCTTAGTCAGAGAGGCACCGAGGCACACGGTGCTGATCAGAGACCTGTAGGTCTTTATTACCAGCTGCCCTTCACCTCTCTCAAACAGCAGGCTCGTGTCCCATCTGCATATTATCCACACTCTGATGCCCAGGCCTTATTCATCACTGATATGAGAGACCACAGGGGCCCCTGACAGAGGAAGTTGGTGGGGAGACACATCTGGTGGAGTTGTAGGGTCATTATCAGACCTG